TCCTTTCAAGCTCTCTGTCCGATTCCCCGGCCGTTGAAACCGCGGCAGCCGCAGCAGTTCGACCCAGTGATTGGGAATTTAGCGAACCGCAGCGTGAACATCATCACCATCAGCTGGATCTGCTTTCCGGCGATCTGTCCATTTCCCTCCTGTTGAACGGGCGGCAGCCGTAGCAGCTCGATCCAGTGATTGGGATTGATTTAGTAATTTAGTGAAACGCAGGTCAGGACGAGCATCATCAGCATCAGCTGGTTCTGCTTTCCAGCTCTTTGTCCAATTCCCCCTCCTCTGAACCTGCGGCAGCCGCAGCCATTCGACCCAGTGATTGGACGGATTTCTTGAACCGCAGGGCGAGCATCATCAGCATCAGCTGGATCTGCTTTTCGGCGCTCTGTCCATTTCCCCTCCGTTGAACCGGTGAACCCGTGGCAGCCGCAGCCATTCGACGGATTCGTTGAACCGCAGGGCGAGCATCATCAGCATCAGCTGGATGTGCTTTCCAGCTCTCTGTCCGTTTTCCCCTCCGTTGAACCCGCGGCCGCAGTGTAGCAGTTCCTCCCAGTGATTGGAAGGATTTAGTGAAGTGAGCCGCAGCGCGAGCATCATCAGCATCACCTGGATTTCTTGTCAAGCTCTCTGTCCGATTTCCCCATTGTTGAACCCACGGCAGCCGTAGCAGGTGATTGGACGGATTTGGCGAACCACAGCACGAGCATCATCAGCATCAGCTGGATTTCCGTTCAAGCTCTCCGTCCGATTTTCTGGCCGTTGAACCAACGACAGCCGCAGCAGTTGGATCCAGTGATCGGGAATTTAGCGAACCGCAGCACGAGCCAACACGTGGTAGCCGCAGCCATTCGTTCCAGTGATTGGACGAATTTCTTGAACCCCGCAGGGCGAGCATCATCAGCATCAGCCGGATGTGCTTTCCGGCTATCTGTCCATTTCCCCTCCGTTGAACCGGCGGCAGCCGTGGCAGTTCGATCCAGTGATTAGGATTGATTAGTGAGCCGCAGGGCGAGCATCATCAGCATCAGCTGGATGTCCTTTCCAGCTCTTTGTCCGGTATCCCCTCCAGCGTCATCAGCATCAGCTAGATTTCTTTTGGGGGGTTGGGTTCTTGCTTAATTTTTCCTTCCCGCAGGGGAGCGTTCACCACCAAACGTTGCTGTGGACTGGAAAGATTCTTTTAGCGAAGAGGACGCGTCCACCGCCTCGTCTCGACGGGCCGTGGACGGGGACGGGTGGGGAGCTCTGGGTGCCGAGAGCTCGGCACCCTTTCGCGGGAGGACGTGGCGTGGATGGGGACGGGTGGGGAGCCGAGCGTTCGCGGGTGGGACGGGTGGGAGCGGCTCTGGGTGCCGAGCGTTCGCGGGAGGACGTGGCCGTGCCGAGCGTTCGGGTGGGAGGCTCGGGGTGCGAGTCTTGCCCATGGGATCCTCACAGAGTTGCTCGTTGGCTTGAGATGCGGCCGGCGAAAAGAAGTCAGAAAGCACTGCTCTGGATCAAAGCTCTCCCTTATGCCTACAGAACGGTTTGGGGTTCCCGGCTTGACCTTGTCAAGATTTCCCGGCCGTTGAACCCACGGCAGCCGAGGCAGCTCGACCCAGTGATTGGACAGAGTTACTGAAACGCAGCGCGAGCATCATCAGCATCCCTGGATTTTCTTTGGAGCTCCCTGTCCGATTTCCCCTCCGTTGAACCCGTGGCAGCCGCAGCCAATCGACCCGATGCATGGACGGATTTCTTGAACCGCAGGGCGAGCATCACCAGCATCACCTGGATGTGCTTTCCAGCTCTTTGTCCGATTTCCCCTCCGTTGAACCCGCGGCAGCCGTAGCAGCTCGACCCTGATTGGACGGATTTGGCGAACCACAGCACGAGCATCATCAGCATCAGCTGGATTTCCGTTCAAGCTCTCTGTCCGATTTACCCCGATTTACTGGCCGTTGAACCAACGGCAGCCGCAGCAGTTCGATCCAGTGATTGGGAATTTAGCGAACCACAGCGCGAGCATCATCAGCATCAGCCGGATGTGCTTTTTAGCTTTTCGTCCGATTTCCTCTGCGTTGAACCGGCGGCAGCAGTAGCAGTTCGACGCAGTGATTGGAAGGATTTAGTGAACAGCAGCGCGAGCATCATCAGCGTCAGCTGGTTTTCTGTTCAAGCTCTCTGTCCGATTTCCCGGCCGTTGAACCCGCGGCAGCCGCAGCAGTTCGATCCAGTGATTGAGATTGAGTTAGTGCACCGCAGCGCGAGCATCATCAGCATCAGCCGGATGTGTTTTTCAGTTTTTCGTCCGATTTCCTCTGCGTTGAACCGGCGGCAGCAGTAGCAGTTCGACCCAGTGATTGCAAGGATTTTGTGAACAGCAGCGCGAGCATCATCAGCGTCAGTTGGTTTTCTTTTCAAGCTCTCTGTCCGATTTCCCGGCCGTTGAACCCGCGGCAGCCGTAGCAGTTCGATCCAGTGATTGAGATTGAGTTAGTGCACCGCAGCGCGAGCATCATCAGGATGTGTTTGTTAGCTTTTCGTCCGATTTCCTCTGCGTTGAACCGGCGGCAGCAGTAGCAGTTCGACCCAGTGATTGCAAGGATTTTGTGAACAGCAGCGCGAGCATCATCAGCGTCAGCTGGTTTTCTTTTCAAGCTCTCTGTCCGATTTCCCGGTCGTTGAACCCGCGGCAGCCGTAGCAGTTCGATCCAGTGATTGAGATTGCAGCGCGAGCATCATCAGCATCAGCCGGATGTGTTTTTTGCTTTTCGTCCGATTTCCTCTGCGTTGAACCGGCGGCAGCAGTAGCAGTTCGACCCAGTGATTGGAAGGATTTAGTGAACAGCAGCGCGAGCAGCATCAGCGTCAGCTGGTTTTCTTTTCAAGCTCTCTGTCCGATTTCCCGGCCGTTGAACCCGCGGCAGCCGTAGCAGTTCGATCCAGTGATTGAGATTGAGTTAGTGCACCGCATCGCGAGCATCATCAGCATCAGCCGGATTTCCGTTCAGGCAGAGCTGGCCTCTGGCTCGCATGCATGTATGTGTGTCTGTACTCATGTACAACGATTGTCACTTTATTGAGACAGGAAGCCAGGAAGCCCTTATGATGAGCAAGACGGGAAGCAGGGCCAGGTGGGCGCCCGCCATGGCGTCCCAAGAGTTTGGTGTTCTACGCTGATTGCCCTGCCAATTCTTACCCTGGCAGGCTATGTGACCAACAGCACCATAACGTTGGCCTAGATGCTTGCTGAAGCCACCTACTGCCTTTGTGATGTAGACGGGGAGTTCTGCTTTGCCAAAGAAGCTCTAGCGGAATTTTCAGGCTTTTCTTGGTTCCAATAAATGTCGCGGTGATCTGCAGTAGCAGCACCTGCTGAGTGACACAGGCCCCGGGAAATATCCAAGACAGGCGGCAAGCGCGTGTCACACTAACGGCACTGTGTTGCAGGTCGAAAAAAGTCTTGAATGCCTGCAGCGTGTTGCAAGCTTTCGGGAATTCGAGCACTTGCTTGCTGACACTCCTGAAGCTCTGAACTACCTTGTTCGGACAGGCATGTCGCTTCAAGCGAAAGAAGTTCAGTTGGTGCGCCGCCATGCCGAAATTTCAGAGGCAAACAACTCATGCCCATGAGTCCGACATCCTTCAAATTATTGATGATAGATTCGAAGAGCTGGAGGAGACGGAGACGGGCTAAGGTGTTAGTGACTGCGGCACCTTCAAAAATCTTCCAACCGTTGAAGAATGCCGATAATTGCAGAGATTTGGAATGAAACTACGAATGAGGCCCTCGACGAATCACCAATTTCCATATCAAGCTGCGAGCTAATTGAGTCCAAGCATTGTCAACTTCGAAAGGTCTTATTGATAGTACAGGCCAGTGCCAAGGCATATGATGTAGAAAATGATGACACGTGGTGCTGCTCGTGCGATTCTTCCATCAAGAGAAGATTGTTGCAGTACACCCTAAACCCTAAACGCTAAACCCTAAACTCTAAACGCCAAACCCTAGACCGCAAACAAAATGGTCACAGTAAAAAAGCGGCCTGGCGGCCTGAGGGAAAAGTCGGGTAAGTGGAGGAGACGGTGGCCTTGGCGCGCTTGATTCCCCAGCTGCATGACCGTCTCTTCCAAGTGGAGACGATGCTGAAGCGTCGTGAGGCGAACTCATGTAATAAGCTGTGAACCCTAAACCCTAGACCCGAAACCCTACACCCTAAACCCTAGTTAATGGTATTGCATCACATGGCGTTTAGTTTGGGGTTTCGTCAGCCCATGATCTGCAGCCTACTTTGGTGGTGGAAGTCTGAATTATTCTGAATTGCTGGGCAGTGGAATGTGGAAATCTTGTGTCAGGTGGCAAGCACAAGGTTCAGGGTTTAGGGTTTAGGCAGATTCATAACTTGCACTCATTAATGAAATCTTTGCTTTGAAGAAAGCGAGGACCCGCGAGATCCAGCAGGTCCAATGTTGCATAGAAAGCCGTGTGCTGTATTGCGCACACAATCGCTGATGTTCACAGGTCGGACCATGGGTAAGGTCAGGTAGGGATGCGGAAAGAGCAACATCCTGTAAGTTCTGTCAACATTGGGGGTTTGGAGTACCTTGGGTCCCCCACTGCCCATTGTATGGTGAACATGTGTGTTCAGAACCTCAGGGAGTATCCCCTAAACCCGTGTTCAGAAGTTCAGGGGGAGTATCTAGGAGTTTGTCGGTGCTGTGCAGGTCGGTGGAGCTGAAGCCCAGTCGGGGCCGCAGTGGAGTGAGTCCGAGCCACCCGCTCGGATTGTGATGCAAGATTGTGACGAGGCGCCGGATGAGGACAATCCGCAGGAGCTACGTCTGGATTTTGATGGGAACAAGATGGGCCAAAACGTGGACATGAAAGATGTGCCAACCGGGCTATCACCAAGATCAATGGCCGCTCATTCCCCGGCCAGGGCTAAGCCATCCAAAAGAAAGATCACCGAAATATCACGGGATAAGATTTCTGATGTGAATGAGCAGATCTTGGACACACAGACAAATGAGTACTATACGTTTGGAGAATCCACATGGGACTTGGTGATGTTCATCGGCACGGGTGCTCTAGGTCCTTTGGGATCTTTGCAGACCTTCTTATTGGCTGTGGTGAATGTCATGATGCAAGTGGTCTTCGTGGCAATTGCCTATTTTAATTTCACGTCACCCGATATCAATGAGTCCTCTGTTCTGGAGGCGCACCCTAAACCTTAACCCCTAAACCCTCAACCCTAAACCCCTAAACCCTTAAACCCCAAACCCTAAACCCCTAAACCCTAGACCCTCTGTTGTGGAGGCACAGAGATGGAGGAGAGCCTCCGGGCACTCCCTTTGGAGCTACGATGATGTCTCGAAGGAATCATTGGCCGAGCGTGTTTGTAAGCTGGACAAGTCTTTAGAGCAATCTGGGATCCAGGCAGAAGGGGGTTTTGGGTTTAGGGTTTAGGTTTAGGGCTTAGGGTTAGGTTTAGGGTTTAGGGTAAGCAGACTGGGATCCAGGCAGAAGGAGTTTTCTCGTGGGGTTGGGATAGCTGCGCGAGGTAAAGCTACCCTAAACGCTCCACCTGCAGCATCATGACTGACAAGTCCACTTCTTCCCAACACGGTGGTTTAGGGTTAAGCGGGTGGTGCTTGCAGCCGTTGGTTTCTCCGGGAGAGATAGTTTGGGCCGCGTTGTGATTGAAGCACAACAGATAGACAGACAGACGAGCCCATATATACAGCTAGCTCGTCAAAGGTCACAAGGTTTGCTTGATACAAAAATGTCGTCTGGCCGATTAGCGTTGTAGCAGTTGTGAACCCTTGACAGGCAGGTTTCGAGTTGCACTCAACCATGAAATAGATGAGAACTCTGCGAATCATCCTTGAAACAGCCTTGCGCTCCCTGTTTAGGTGGCTTTATACGAGAACATCGAAAAGTATTTGAAATCTGACGCTGCTGGCTTGGAAGGATGGTTCACTGGTCAGGTGCTGTGCATTGTGGCGCTGGTATGTTGGTACTTGATGGTGGCCAAGGAGTTAAGTCATGCCTCAGCGTTGTTGCGAGGAGTCTTGGCGATGCCTACAGGGCCAACCAGGATTGATACACGAGAGAACCCTTTCACCAAGGCTACTCACTATCGACTGCGCGGCGTGGCACTGTCTCGAAAGGTCTTTAGCGCAGTGTTGTTCGGATACCGCCTGGTTGCAGCTGCAGTCCTCGTCTTTGTGGGAACATTCTTCTTGGTTTACACCGTTAGTGTTACAGAGCTCATCTTGAATGCAGTGGCACTGGGTATCATTCTGGACATCGATGACTTACTATTCGATGCATTGGCCACCACGCCAGGGAGACATTTGGTTCATCAGCTGGATGCTCTACCCATGCCATCTCTACCACGAATCAGGGGCGCTGATGCCAAGTCAGTGTCCATGTCCCTGGCGATCCCTTGTCTCACCATCCTGGTGTACGTCAACATGCTCGGACCCTTCGTTGGCACTCTGCAGGACGTAAGCACCGCGATGTGCGGAGGAAACTTGGGGTTTGTTTGGAATGTGGACAAGCGGCGGGTGGTGCTCATGGCTCCGACTTCGGGGGGTGGTTGGGAGGATCAGGATGAAACCAAGATCTATGCTGTGGAAGAGGGTGAGCGCATTGGATTTGGGCTCGACCAGAATGACGCCGAATATGGTCTTTGGCTACGGGATGTTAACCTGGTTGGGGATCTCACTGTGCTGTCCCTTGCAGAAAGCATTGATCTCTTTAACCCTGAGTGTGGAGACTTGGGTGATACTGGGACGATGCTGAACTATCTCAGGTTTTTCCTGCAGAATACCAGCCTTCAGGGCTGTGCAGATGCCGTGCCTTTCTGCAACTCAGTTACGAGCTTGCCAGATTATGGAGTAGATGATGGGAAAGGATGGGCTGCTCGAATGCTTTGCTCTGCAACGTGCGGCTGTCAGACACCTGCAAGTGATAACTTGTTTGTTCAGGGGTGTCCGTATGGCCCAGGCAGAGCATGTCAGCAGTCTGAAAGCTTCCTGCAATTCAGGGAGAACAGCGTTTGTATTGAGCAGAATGCTTCCAGCCTTCGCCAATTTGCTCCTTGGGTCCAGTGGATAGAGGCGCTAACGCTCTACGGAAACCAGTCTGCAAATTTGAAAGGGAAGACGGAGGCATTGTCGATCGCCCGGGCTATGTGGGATCATGGATGTGGCTTTCAGGCCAACTTAAGCGCGGAGAACATCTCGTGGGGAGACTGCTTCAGCTGGAATAGCTCCTTCGAGTGGGAGTTCAAGACGTTGGAGGCATTCTGCCCCCTGACCTGCGGATGCTCCCGCGACACACTCGATTCTGCATGCCCTCAGCCATTTGGTGTGTATTCATGTGATCAGCTCGAGGAAGCACGTTGTCTCACTTGGATGGGGCAGCACTACTGCCCAGCCTTCAGCCCTTCCGTAAAAGGCGTCGTTTCTCTAAGTGCCTCGAGCACAGACCCGAACGTCGTGTCTGCCCTTTTCGTGCCAGTGACAATGGCGCTCATGGGCAGCCTGGCGCACTATGCGGGTGCTGAGACCTATGCCGTCCGCCTTGACTTACAGCCCCGAGGTGTGTTAATCCTTGGTTTCTTTAGCATCTTCATGCTCGATCCCGCATGGGACGAGGAAGCCATGTCCTCGAGGTTGTTTTCAACACCCATTGCAGACTTTGAAGCGCAGGTGTTGCAAACTACCGCAGCTCTTGGGGGCTCAATCAACGGTACAGGGCTTCGAATTGAAGCTTTAACCACGCAGGACCCCGTTCCACTCCGAAGATTGGAGCATGTGAAAAAGGATGTTCATGGCCCTGGAGCAGCAAGTCTAAAGCAACCAGTCTGATGACCACTGTGAGCTGTAGCGCGACAACAGTGCCAATAGTGCTCAGTGAAGACAGGATGTTGTACTGGCGTTCACAATCTTACGCACTACAGTTACTGGCAAGGCGGGTAATAAATTTTGCGTAAATGCTTGGCAACCACGTGTTTCACACGCTTGGCAACCACGTGTTTCACCCATCTTTGAGAGCTTATGTTTTCAGCACCAAGATGACCAAGTCATGTTGGCGGCCAGGAGAATTCGAATGAGTGGCGTGCAGGACAAAAGAAAACGCAGACACTGCTTGGACACTTGCGGGTGCACAGCAGCAGGAAGAGCTTATCTGCAGGTGCCTGTTGCACAGAGCATGGGTTTTACTGATTCAGCTGGACTGCACAGCTAGCTGTGTTTGCAACAATATCCTCGTCGACCAACCCCGCTTCCGGATCTCAAGCTGCTCCAGGGCGTAGGGTTTAGGGTTTAGGGTTCAGACACCATGAGGGTCGACTGAATTTGAAGGATGTGTTCCTGTACCTTCTCACAACATGCCGGGTAAGGGCAATGGGCTTGCTCCTCCATGCTATGGTCCTCGTTTCAATTGCATGCTGCGCAGTGTGACCTACGTGTTTGGAGCAGGAGCGGTTTAGGGTCTGGGGTGTAGGGATCCCTAAGTCCTAAATCCGAAACACTAAACCCCAAAACCTCTAAACCCGAAACCCTAAACCCTTCAGGGTTTAGGGTTTGGCCACTTCCGGCCGGATCCTATCCTGGACCGGAGCGGCTCTAGGTGCCGTCAGCGTCTGAGACTTATGAAGACACAAATGAAGCTCTGGCCTTTCCGAAGGGATGGGGTTTAGTTTTTGGGTTTAGGGTTTGGGAATTAGGGTTTGCCAGTGAAATCACTGGAGCTGCTC